CTCTCTATATTCCCGATAATGATCCTTCCGCAGGTTCACCTACGGAAACCTTGTTGTCTCCTGTCATAACAGTCAATTTAAATGTCTTAAAGTTATGATGCTTTTCTTTAATTTTATTTCTTAAACTCTTTGTAAGCCAACCTAGTTTTTACTTGTAGTTACCCTTTTCTTTCTATTAGGAATATGTTTACGTTGAATACTATACTTGATACTTAAAAATGATGCATTTTCCGATGCAAGTTGTAGATTCCAGAGATATATGCTTGTGATCTTGAGTGCTATTCGGATCCACATCTTTGGCTAGATGTATATATATATGAACTCGAAACCCACTCGGATTTGGTTACGAAAAAACACCTTGTAAGAACGTGGTACAATTTAATACATGATAGTTGCGTCCAAAAACATGATGTGCCCTACATACTGTAGCAACTTGGCTATAAGACGATATGTAATAGCTGTAATGTTCGTTTTCTCCCCCTATTTTTTAGAAGCACTGCTACTTTGATGTCTTATTATTTATGTGTTTGAAGCTGAAATTACTTACCGCATTCCAAGGTACGAAAGGAAAAGCTGGAAGAAAAAACAAATTGATTGACCTGTAATGTAAAGACGCTCTCTACCCAGTTCTATTTTAAATGAACTTAACATCACGTAACCAAGACAGTTCTTAGATTTTGAAGTCCTAGCTCCACCTGAATATGAACAATCTTCCGATTAAGCTTGCATCTGTCAGTAGCCGTGAAAGATTTTACTGTGAACCAGTAGATGACGTAACAAAAATATGACGCTTATAGTTATATATGCATGCTGATTTACAGCTATAAGTGTAGAAGTGTTTATTTTCACACGTACCTATGTTGTCTTTCTAAAGCCTTCTTTACACATAAGTTATATTTTCTGTGTTCTCTTTTCTTATACAAAGAACATCTACATTTAGAGTTGTTGAAAAAAACACATTTTATATCTTAATTTACCGTAAATTTTGGTGATGAAATACATGATCCTGGCTTCTTTTGATGTTTTAAATATGCTTTGATCTGTCTTCCTATAAGAACGAAAAAAATAAACTATCCGGTTCCATTCATAAGAGATATCAAATAGAATAATTAACATAAATTTTCTTCTTGTAATTTATATACAAAGAAACTCCACTGTTTATTGAATAAAGCTGAATTTTATAGCTCCAAAACTTTCAACTTTTTATCACATTTATTTCTGTTATGTCGTGTAATTACAGTTTGGTGTTGAATTTAAAACGTTTTTCTTTTATAACCGACTTTTATTTTATTTCTATGGATTAATAAGAAGTTTTAATGTCCATTTTTTATTGTAAATAGCCAACACATTCACGAACTCAAACAAATATTGTTGTGTTACGCAACTTGAATTGTTTTAGTTACATAATCTAGAATTTAACAATAAATTCAGCAATTTGCTAAATTTTTGAAAATAATAAAAATGAATAATGAAAACAGAGATTTGATGGATGGAATTCAACAATCTTGGCTAATGTCTTTTTAACATTTCAAGGTTGTAATATCTCATAAGAAATTAAAACCAATTGGATCTACTTGCTCAGACAAATTAAAATATTGATATGTCTTTATGATTTTTTATGTGTCAATCTAAATATGAATGTGAATGTTTACATGTGTTTTTACCAATTATTTAATCTTTGAAAATGTTACCCATGAATCAGGAATTATTATCAGTTTTCCGTTATGCTTACAATTCTCTATTTATTTTGATGGATTGCATCTACGTGGAGTGTAGGTGTAGACAGCGTTTCGGTTTATGAGCAAAGCGACCTAATAAATATGTGAGCATAGAGACCGAAACGTTGTCCACTCTACTTGGGCACTTGAGTAATATAAAAACAACCATTTGTTAATTTATTTCTCAGTCTGTCAACTGTCTGTTTTGACGATCATTAAGAAACATTTTGAAGTATTATTATAATTATTTATTTCTATATTTTTTTGCAGGTCCTACTTGGACATGTGGTATTTAGCCTTGGCTATTTTAACTATCCCGTTTCTTTCTCAGAATTTTGTGGTTTCGCGTGAGTACCATATTTTAACTTTCAAATATTAATATTTATTATTTTCTGTAAAATGTGTATGTTTTCTGATAATGTTATATTCATATTGTTGTTGTTTGACATGTAAAACGTGTTATTTCCCTCGCTAATGTTAGACTGCAGTCTGGTGTGGTTTTTATGTAAGTATTCGGTAAAACTTGCGTGTTTTCTAATAATTCTATATTCATATTGTTGTTGTTTAACATGTAATTTTTGTTCTTTCCCTTCATGCTAATATCGAATCTAATGTTAGACTGCAGTCTAGTGTGTTTTTTATATGTATTCGGTAAAACTTGCGTGTTTTCTAATAATTCTATATTCATATTGTTGTTGTTTGACATGTAAAACGTGTTATTTCCCTCGCTAATGTTAGACTGCAGTCTGGTGTGGTTTTTATATGTGTTCGGTAAAACTTGTGTGTTTTCTAATAATTTTATATTCATATTGTTGTTGTTTGGCATGTAAGGCTGTGTTCTTTCCCTTCACGCTAATATTAGACTACAGTATATTTTGTTCTCTTATTACTAATATTAGACCTGTTGGTTTCATTGATTCACCAGCTTTGGACCACATTAATGATTTTTGTTTTCATGGCCTGTTCACCTTCTTACATACATGTTGTTGTCGTTTAGTATATCTGCCCCTGTTCTTTCTTCTCCCATATTTTGTATTTATGTTATTGTGCGTTCTCCTGTTCATTTCGTTATATTCTATATTCATTTTGCTGTTGTTTTCCCGTGTCCGCTTATTCTTTCTACTCGCATATTTATCTTGTTGTTTCTTATCATTTTTCCTCCTCTTATTTTTCTTATATATTTATTATACACGTTGTTGTTGAGTTAAATACACGTTCTTACAGGTGGGGCCCGGCT